ATATTCGTAAAAAATTTTATTGTTTATTTCTCTACTTTCAGTGATAAAAATTTGTCACATTTTTAAGCAAAAAAGATAATTATTTTTAATAAATATGATAAAAAATGAATAAATCTCAATTATTAAAAATAAAATGAATAATCAAGATTTTATATAAATATAGTATGCAAGGCTTGTATATAGTTGAATCCTTATTTTATATAAAAATGATTTTTCTAAACTGTATTCTTAAAACACAAGTTAAAAGTATAGTAAATATATATTTTTATCATAATTTGTGTTACAAAAATAAAAATTGATTTTTGATTTATCAATTATTCAATTAAAGTTATCCACTTAGCATGTATACTAAAATTAATGTCAAATTTTATATTTTTTTATAAATTTATAACAAAAAATTATTAACATATATCTTAAAAATATAAATTAAAAAACTCTATATAATAATATTAATTGTGATTACATAACACCTAAATGGACTTTTTGATAGCTTCCAATTGTACGTGCTCTTATCACCTTACATCTTGCTTAAAATTGTTTCCAAAAGGGTGAGAAGAAGTGAACAAACAACAGGAACTCATTCTTTGCTAGGATCTTAATTTTCGCTTAGTATTATTATTAGGGAAAGTAAATATCAATCTCAATTCCAAAAAAAATAAAAAAATTAAAGTTTATATCTTAAATGATGTCATTATATTTAATATAGAGAAATAAGACAAAACTCCCAAATTCACTCTCTAAATAAGATGGTAAAGACAAATTTACTCCTAAAAAAATATAAAAACAAATAACACTCTAGACTATCAACTAATACAAATTATTCGTTATTTAATTGCTTACGTCATACTAAGTTAATAAATCGTTAACGGTGGGCTAAGATAGACTTTTTAAACACAGTGGAGCCATTTTTATGACTTGGATGCTAACATGATCCCATTCCTACCCATCCAAGTCTTATGTGGCAATTTCGCTACTTTTTTCCTTCTCCGCATCAAGGCCCAATGAAATCTCCAAAACTAACCATTTAATTGAAGAGATAATTACAAGTTTAAAGGCTTAATTAAAGGGAATCAAATTCACAAAAAATTCCCTATTCCAGTCTTCTTCTCTGGCAATGGCCATCTATTTCTCCAATGCCATTCAAGTGCACAATCCTTCATGAATCCAAATCAACTCCAAATCAAGCAAAGTCAAACAAGAAACATAAAAGGATCAATTCTATATTCAAGCCAAGGATAGATTTGGACTGATCATGTTCTCCGATTCATCAAAAAGATGCAAAACTCAATGACGATTATAAGAAATTTATCATCGAAAAAAAAAAAGGGGAAAAGACTACGAAATTTATAGGATTAAGAACCCATGAGAAGGAAAGTCCAAATCCACATCCACAAAATCCCTACCTAATCAATTGATCATGGTGAAACCCCCATTAAATTCCTCTCAATCTTCTCATTTGTCTTTTGTTCTTGTTCACAATTCTTTACCACCAGTTTCTTCCACCTCCCAAAATTATTCCATTTCTCCTCTCAAACAAATCCAAACAAAAACTTACCAATCCTGGCACCACCGCAAGAAAGAAGATGAAAGAGTCGGTCTTCTGTTGTAGGGCTCTATGTTTGGCAGAGGAGAACCTAGAGATGTTTGGGCACTAAAATCAGTCGCAAGAACCCAGATCTGGGTTATCCATTGAAGCAACAAACCCAAATCTCGCCAGCAACGAGCTCACACTCCAATGTGCCAGTGGTGAGCTTGAACCCTAATCTCGCCGTAGTCTTGCCCAGATCAGGAATCTAGCAAAGGATGAGAAGAAAGAACGAGGGGGAAGAGAGGAGGAAAGAGAAGTTCAAGTGCAATTTTGTAATTCAGTTTCTTATTAATTTTTATTTTTCATTGGGCCAACTTAGTGAAAATAAATACTTTGGAGATTTCATTGGGCCCAACTTACGTGGGAAAGGTCAAAAGAGAGAGAAATTGCCACATAAGAATAAAATGGGTATGTATGGGGCCACATCAGCATCTAAGTCATAAAAATGGCTCCACCATGTTTAAAAAGTCCACCTCACCCCACTTTAACGATTTATTCGCGTGTCGATAATTTGGGAGTGTCATTTGTCATTATATTTTTCAATTTTTAAGGATAGATTTATCCGTACCACCCTATTTAAAAAGAGAATTTAAGAGTTCGTTTGGAGTAGATTTTAGGTTAAATGCTTAATTTGGTCCCTCAACTTTAAGAAATGAACATTTTTGGTCTCTCAACAATTTTTTGCACTTTTTTGATCCCTCAACTTCACGAAATGCACTCCGTTAGTTCTTCTGTTAATTTGGGCTGTTAACTTTGCTTATGTGGCATTTTTTATATTTTTTTTGATGATGTGGAGAGCAAAGTGATGATATGGACAAACATTTTGACATTTCATATTACCATGTGTTAAATTCATTCAAATGGATCCCACTTCATTAATAAAAAAAGATATCTTTTGATGACATGGTAAATTAAGTGATATTTTTTTATATTTTT